TGGGCGGACCAGATTTACCAGTGGATTACCCAGGACAAGCTGCAGTTCACCCGTATCCAGGAGTTGCTGGCGGATCGAGGCTGCCAGATCTCCTATTCGTCCCTGCACCGGTGGCTGAGCCGGCGCCACTGGCAGCGACGTAGCGCCAGAACGGTGCGGATGGAGCAGAGCGGGCCCGGGGAGGTAGCCGAACTGGACTTCGGCCGCCTGGGCTTCATCCAGGACCAGGAGACGGGCCGCAGACAGGCGGTGTGGGCGCTGCTGGTGGTGCTGGCCTACTCCCGGCATTGCTTCGTGTGGCCCGCCTACGGTCAAAAGCTGGAGGATGTGATCGCCGGCCTGGAAGCGGCCTGGGCCTTCTTCGGCGGCATCCCCAAATACCTGGTCATCGACAACTTCCCCGCCGCGGTGGCGGGCGCCGATGCCCTGCATCCCCCGCCTGACCCGCGGCTTCCTGGAATACTCCCAGCACCGGGGCTTCATCACCGATCCGGCCCGGGTGCGTCACCCCAAAGACAAGCCCATAGTGGAGCGGAGCGTCCAGTACGCCCGGGAGCGGTTCTTCAAGGGCGGCGATTTCAAAGACCTGGACCACCTCCGTTCTGAAGCGACTCGCTGGTGCCGTGACGTCGCCGGACAACGAATCCACGGCACCACCCGCCGTCAGCCCCTGCAGGTCTTCCTGGACGAGGAGCGCCAGACGCTGGCTCCCTGGGACGGCGAGCCCTACGAGGTCACCCACTGGCGCACCGCCAAGGTCCACCCCGATCACCACGTGGCCTGCCAATACGCTCTCTACTCGGTGCCCTCCACCCTGTGCCCGCCCGGGCAGCAGGTGGAGGTCGGCCTGGGCCTGAAGCTGGTGCGCATCTACCACCGGGGCCAGCTCATTAAGGTCCACTCCCGCCAGCCCCGGGGCGGCCGCTCCACCGACACTGCCGACTACCCCGCCGAGCTGAGCGCCTACACCCTCAGGGCGCCCGACGGCATCAAGCGCCAGCGCCCAGGGGATGGGACCTGCCGTGGCCGAGTTCGCCGAGCGCCTCTTTGACGGGCCCCTGCCCTGGTCACGAATCAGGCAGGGGCACAAGCTCATCCGCCTGGGCCAGCGCTACACGCCCGAACGCCTGGATGCCGCCTGCCGCAGGGCCTGGAGGTGGACCTGATCGACGTGAGTCGAGTGGAGCGCATCCTGCTCCAGGCCTTGGAACAAGCCGAGACTCCCGAGCATCCCCCGCCTCTGCCCCTCGGGCGCTTCGCCCGCCCGGGCAGCGTCTTCGCCCATGGGAAAGCTTACGGACAGCAGCCAAATAAAGGAGGTCAATCATGACCCGTGTACCCGAACTCACGCCATTGCTGAAGCGGCTCCAGCTGGGACCCATGGCCGCCACCCTGCCCGAACGCATCGCCCTGGCCCGCCGCGACCAACTGGACTACGCTTCCTTCCTGGAGATCATCCTCTCCGACGAGGTCAACCGCCGCGCCGACCGCCGCCTGGAACTGCGTCTGCACGCCGCCGGCTTCGAGGAGACCTGCCGCCTGGAGGACTTCGACTGGTCCGCCAGCATTACCCTGGACCGCCGGCTCCTGGACGCCGTCTTCTCCCTGGAGTTCCTCTCCAGGCACGAGCACGTCCTCCTGGTGGGTCCCGCCGGCGTCGGCAAGACCTTCCTGGCCCAGGCCCTGGGCTTCGCCGCCGTCAGGGGCGGTCACACCGTGCGCTTCTGCCACGCCGACGACTTCTTCAGGGCCATGGCCCAGGCCCGGGTCGACAACTCCGTCGACCGGACCTTCCGTTCCTTCCTCTCCCCGGACCTGCTCATCCTGGACGACCTGGGCCTCCACCGGCTCACCGCCCAGCAGTCCGCCGACCTCTACGAGCTGATCATCGGCCGACACCGCGTCTCCAGCTTCGTGATCACCAGCAATCGCAGCGTCGAGGAATGGCTCAGCCTCTTCGACGACCCCATTCTCGGCAACAGCGCCCTGGACCGTCTGGCCAATGCCAGCTTCCAGATCGTCATCGAGGGAGCCAGCTATAGAGAGAAACTCTCGCCCCACCGGAAACTCCTGGGCGACAAAGGGGGTGATTGACCTGGCGGCCATAACCTGATACAAGTCTAAATCACCCGCGCCCAGGGTGGCCTCATGACCGTGATTAACCCTGGCCTCATGACCCTGATTAACGTGTTGTTGTTCTACGATTAGGTCACCGGCCAACTGTTCAGCGAAAATGTCACCCCATGAGGGAAGTGACATTGAAACAGCGAGAACAGGCAAGAATCCAGGTACTCAACACCGTGCTGGAACAGCACCTTTCGATAAGGCTGGCAGCGGAGATCATGGGAATCAGTGAGCGTCACACCAAACGGCTGCTGGCAGCCTACAGAAAGGAAGGGGTCACGGCGCTGGCCCACGGCAACCGGGGACGGAGGCCCCACAACGCCGTGCCAGAAGACGCCGCGGCCGCCGTGGTGAAGCTGGCCAGCAACGGCTACGCGGGCGCCAACCACAGCCACTTCACCGAACTGCTGCAGGAACGGGAGGGGATCGACCTGAGCCGTCCCACGGTGCGCCGCATATTGGTGAAGGCCGGCCTGGGCAGCCCCCGCAGTCGCCGGTCGCAGCAGCACCGGTTCCGCCGCAAGCGCATGCCCCAGGAGGGGATGCTTATTCAGGTGGACGGCAGCCCCCATCCCTGGCTGGAGGACCGGGCAGACAAGTTCGTGCTGCTCCTCGCCGTGGACGACGCCACCAGCACTGTGGCCCAGGCGGTCTTCCATACCACCGAGGACACGCGGGGCTATCTGGTCCTGCTGGAGGGGCTGGTCCGGCAGTGGGGGATTCCCCTCGCCCTGTACAGCGATCGCCACGCCGCCTTCAAGTACAACGCCCGCCAGGGGCCGGTCCTGTACGAGTCCACCCAGTTCGCCCGGGTGATGCGGGAGTTGGGCATCCAGCAGATCTTCGCCATGTCACCACAGGCCAAGGGCCGTGTAGAAAGGATGGCCTCCACCTTCCAGGACCGGCTGGTCACCGAGCTGCGCCTGGCTGGCGCTACTACCATGGAAGAGGCCAATGCCGTCCTGCAGGAATATCTGCCCCGGTTCAACAAGCGGTTCGCCGTGGCGGCGGAGCGGCCCGAGAAAGCTTACCGGGCGGTACCCGCCGACCTGGATCTCACCGAGACAGTCAGCATCAGGCACACCCGCAAGGTGGCCCGGGATAACGCGGTGAAGTACCAATGGCGGGTCCTGCAGTTGCTGCCTGGGGAGGAACGGCCTCCTATGCCGGTCTCCGGGTGGACCTGCTGGAACGGGCCGATGGGGAACTGTTGATCAGATACCAGGGGGAGGCCGTTGATTACCAGGAAGCGCCGCTGCGGTCCCCGGCATTATGGGGAGAAGGCAGCGGCACCTTCCCCACTCCGGAAGGACCAGAGGCAACTGAAGAGCGGATCACCGGACATCTGGATCGAGACCAGCGGAAGCTCCTGGCGGACCTGGAGTCCTCGGTGGAGAAGCGGGCCAAAGCCAAGGCCGCTGCCGCCAAGGGAAAACCCCTTCGCCACCAGTTGCGACGTACGCCTACTGCCACCCAGCAGGCCCGCTGGGAGGCGGTGCAGAAAGCCAGGAAGCAGGGACTGTCCCTGCGGGCCATCTCCAGGGAACTGGGCATGTCCCGCGACACCGTCGGGAAATACCTTAAAGCGGACAGTCCGCCCACCAAACTGCTCAGCGCCAAGGAACGGGCCAAGGCCGAAGCCCTGAAGGAAGTCCAGATGGCCGCCGACTAACCATGGTGACATTTTCGCTTTTCAAAACAGGGGACGTAATCGCTGGACAACAACATAACGACAACCAGTACGTCCCGGTGTCCGTAGGCCACCGGCGCCGAGTAGTCATTGGTCTTGTACCGTACCAGGGACAGGGAACTCACCCGGCTGGCCTGCTGGTCGCAGGCGTCATAGGGCACGGCGGGCAGGGGCTGCAGGGCGTCCAGGTCCCGCTCCATGCGCTGGCCGATGGTCTCATCGTGGCCCCTGAGCCTGGCGTCCATCCGCTCCAGACACTTCTGCTCCAGGTGGGCATTCAAGGCGTCAAAGCTCTGGAAGGACGGCACGGGAACCAGGAAGTTGCGGCGCACGTAGCCCACCATACCCTCCACCTTCCCCTTGTCATTGCCCTTGCCAGGTCTCCCGAACCGGTCCTCGAACAGGTAGTGGGACTGCAGCTCGGTGAAGGCCCGGGTGCGCTGGCGCCTGCCGTCTCCCAGAATCCGGGCCACCGCCAGCTTCGTGTTGTCGTACAGGATGCTCTGGGGCACGCCGCCCAGAAAGGCGAAAGCCGAGACGTGGCCGTCCAGGAAGGCCTCGGTGGTCTCGGCCGGGGTAGGCCTTCACGAAGCAACCGTCGCTGTGGGGCAGGTCCAGCACCAGGTAGTGCACCTTCCGCTCCACCCCGGCGATCACCGCCACCGCCTCTCCGAAGTCGCACTGGGCGTGGCCTGCTGGGTGGGACAAGGGCACGAACATCTCCTGAGTCCGCCGCCGGTGCTCCCTGACGTAGTCCTTGACTGTCGTGTATCCGCCGTCAAACCCGTGCTCGTCAAGCAGCCGCTCAAAGATCCGCTTCGCCGTGTGGCGCTGCTTCCTGGGAACCTGGCGGTCAGCTTCCAGGATGGCGTCAATTACACCAGTGAAGGGCTCAAGCTTGGGCCGGCGGGGTGGGTCCTGGCGCCGGTACCCTGGTGGCACCGACCAGGCCAGCATCTTGCGCACCGTGTCCCGGTGCAGGCCGAACACCCGGGAGGCTTCCCGAACGCTCATCCCTTCCACCATGCAGGCCCGGCGAACCCGCGCGTACATTTCCACGTGATACATCCATCGCACCTTCCATAGACTGATACTCAGCCTTACGGAAGGCGGTGGACGGTACGATTTCCCGCCGCCCTAAATCAGCCAGCGGAGCCGCCCACGTGGTCCACTTTACCTCCGCCTTTTACACCAGGTCGTGACGGAGCCACACCGACCGGACCCCTCCCGGGGAGACGATGATCCCCTGCTTGCGCGGTTCGTTGGCCGCTCGCAGCTGTCCATAGGCGGGAAACTCCACCGCGACCGGCAGCGTCGCCTGCTCCACCGCATCCGTGACCCGGTTCTTGAGCAGCGGCTTCTTGCGGGAAATCTCATTGAGGGCGGCCTCGCCACCGTTCTCGTAGAGTTCCTTGTACCGGTAGAAGGTGTCCCGGCTGTAACCCATGATCTGGCAGGCCTGGGACAGATTGCCCAACTGCCTGGCCAACTCCAGAAGTCCCAGCTTGGGCTTCAGTACTTTTCCTGTTACGTTGTCATCCGACACTCCCTCCCCTTTGATGGGGACATTTAATCACAGTTTCCCTGGGTGTCAGATTAACTCCTAACTATTACACCAAAGGCGCTGGGGCCAGATTGCAAATGCTGGCCCTTCCTCTTGGCCCATCAAGAATCTTGCCGAAACTGTTTGACGCCCCCTGAATACTTATAGAATGGGACTCGTCACAGACCTAAGTTGCCGTGCAAACCGTTGCACGGGAAATACGTGCATTGTTGATGGAAACAGGGGCATTCGTGCCCCCTGTAAGGCGCACGTATGGGCTTTGGGTCTGTGACGAGTTCCCTTTCCCATCCTACTTGCAGGGGGTTCCCACCATGAAGGTACTACTCGCTCTTTGGCTGTTATTTGCTCTTCTGCTCACCATCGCCTGCACCAACACCCGACATTCCCGCCACCGTAACAGCTAGAGTCCAAGCACAACTGCCAATCCATTCAACGTCCACTCCCTTCCCAACTGCAACACCGCAACCTACCGCAACGCCTTCTCCCACTGTCCCCCCAAACGCTGTCCCAATTAGCACTTACCACTGATGACGGTACCAGCGGTCAAGGCAGTGAACGGACACCACTTGGAAACTTACATGGCACCGGCGAAATCGAGGTATACGAGGGGCAGGTTGCTGTCCTGAACAGAGATGCCACGGTGATGATTGACCGAGGGGAGTACGCCTCCGCCATAGCCAATCTGGAAAGAATGGTGGAGTTAGTGGACGAACCCAGCTTTATTCTGCACAATCGGCTGGGGTTCGCCTATCGCTGGAATCGAGACCACGACAATTCCATCCGACATTTCAGCATCGCAATAGACTTGAACGACACCAGCGTACAGCGCACTAACAGGGCCACCGCCTATATGTATAACAACCAATGCCCGGAAGCCACCGAAGACGCTAACCTGGCTCTGGACAGGACTTTGCCGGAGTCTACGACTGGGTACCATCCACACGTTGAATCTCTGTTGCTCTTGAGTCACTGTTATGCGCAGTCCGGCAATCACTCCTTGGCCTTGGCACATATTGAGACAGCCATCGAGCTTGCCCAATCATCTGGCGTCAGTGAAGAACGAATCGAGAGCTTTGCCAGGGTAAAGCAACAGATCGAAGGCATTGCCAGAGGGCACGCCTATCCTGAAGATATGCTTGCCGGCTTCGTTCTCGTTGACGTGAATCAGGGAATGGCGAAGTTCTACGACGGAGAGGAACGAGCCGCCATTGTCCTCTTCACGTCTGCCCTTGAGGGACATGGAAGGCCGTCGAGCAGAATCCTCAATATGCTGGCTAGAAGCCATGCCAACATCGGGGAACATGAAAAGGCGGTCGGTTATTTCTCACAAGCCATTGAGTTGAGAGATAACTCATTCAACCGGACATGGCGAGCCTTGCAGTATTTGGGGGAAGATGATTGTGGGATGGCTGCTGCCGATGCTGAGAAGGCTCTGAACATGGAACCTTTCGTGGAATCCGGTTTGATACCAGAGTGGAAGCCCTTTGGATTCGAGGTCTATGCCTTGGACGGGAAGGCCAATTGGAAAGTGCTCTGCCCGATATAAGGGAAGCTATCAGGCTGGCCCAACATAGCGACTACCCTCAGGAGCATATTGACTTCATGATGGAGACGTACCAAGAGGGGTTGCAGATTGCGAGTGATGAACGAAGTGGTACCCCTTAAACGGGGATTCAACTTGGTTCAGGGTAGGGTTTTGTCTCTGCGGGGGAGTTTTTGCCCTTTCTCCTCTTTCCAGGGCAATCGCGTCTTAACTGAGGAGGATTTTTAGCAGGTAATCTTCCCGCCAACCGGCTTGGAGGCGTTTGCCCTGGATACCTACCTTCAGGCTGGTTCCCGCTTGAGCATGTTATGGGAGATGTTCCGCAGGGTGGCAAAGTTCTGGGGGCTGTGGTCCTTGCGTTCTCGGCAATCATCCTCGCGGAAGGTCACGTCCAGGCTCCAGTGCAGGGAGTTCTCGATGCTCCAGTGGGCCCGTACCGTGGCCAGCATCGCTGCTGCCGAGAGATCCAGGCTGCTGATGAAGTAGCGGGGTTGCACGGTGACCCCGGTCTCCGCTTCCCGACGGCCCACTACCTTCACCACCGAGCGCAACCCAGGCCACTCCTTACCAGTGCTCAGATAGTCCAGACAGTCTGGGTCGCTGATGGCCCAGCACTCCCTCCGTTCCAGGCGTCCGTGCCCCTTGTTCAGCGTGGTGGCATAGTCGTGGGGGACACCCTCAAAACCCGTTGCCTCGGCTTCCTCAAACAGGTCCCTCAAGTCCTCGTGCAGTCGTCCCTGGTTCTGCTTCACCGCCAGCACATAGTCGGCTCCCTGCTCCAGGATGCTCTGGGCAATCTCCTTCTGGCCGCCCATGGCGTCAATGGTGACTATGCACCCATTCAGTTCCAACAGCTCAGCAACCTGGGTATGGCGGTGATTTCGTTGGACTTCTCCTCCGTCTTCACCTGTCCCAGGGTCAAAGTGTTGGCCGAAGCCCAGGCGCTGACCAGATGGAGAGCCCCCTTGCCCGCTCGGGTGTCGTGGGAACGGCGCGCCGTCTTGCCGTCGATGGCCACCACCTCCCCGGGCAGCAACTCCGCCACCCCTGGCTCCACTCCATGAAGCACTCCTGGAACCGCTGTGGATCCAACCGGGAGAAAACCTCACCGAAGAGCCTGCCCCCGCGAAGGCGGGGGTATCATGGGAGGGGATGCCGTTGGGCAGGTCCAGAAAGGTCCGGAACCACTCCTCTTTGCTCTTGCCGAACATCTCCGCGTAAACCCACGAGTCCGCCCCGCAGATGACAGCGCAAATGGCTATGGTGATGATGTCTAGCAGCGAGTGCCGCTTGCTGCGCTCAACCCGCGGGTCTTCCAGATTCTCAAAGTAATCCACCAACGACCGCCGCCGCCCTTCTTCCATAACCCCTCACTACCTCCCCTCTTTCCCTCACGCCTTTTCACCTGCCCAGTCTATCATTAAGACGCGATTGCCCTGTCCCCTTTCTTGTCGAAATGACTTGGTCTTCTCTGTAGAGTAGAATTAGTGAGACTTTTTCATCCTTAGTGGAACAAACCGAGGCTGGCAAGCTCAGGTGGGAGCCGATTGCCGTTCCAAACGGCAATTCCACCATATGGCAAACGAGTGTAGAATTCGGATGCCGCTTTGAACCTACACATGAATCTAGGGGGTGCTGGTGGCACCGTTTGAAGATGATCGGGGCATCATAGACGAGACTTTTGCATCAAAACAGGCTTTTTCAGCAAAGCCCTGATGGATATAACAAACTCCCCACCAATACATTGGTAGGGAGTTGTCCTAAGCGCTACAGTCCGGGGTTCCATACGCCGAGCATCAGTAGCAAAAGCATAACCGCTATGACGGACGTGGTTACGGAAAGGGTCAGCCACACATAAGGATTCCTTGCCTTCATTTTTGTCCTCCAAAGGGTCGCCGTTAATTCTAAGTCCGCCCATTCAGGTCTGCGTTAGAGAGGCGCCTCAATTGCCGATCCCGCACCACGCCCCGTTTTTTCACATCCGACACCGCCTGGCGGATGATCTCTCGCCGCAGGGCGTCCGCCTTCGCCGCTTGCCGCTTCGCCCGACGTTTAGGTCGTCCAGCCATCACTCACCCCCAAGTATGGGCAACGATACCATTCCCTGTTCCGATAAATGGGCTACGGGCCGACCCGTCTGCCCTGAACCTTCTGGACGGCGCCTTTCCCTGCCCTGTGGGTGCGGTTCATCTGCCCTGGACTTCCCGGCGGCGGCCTTTTCTTCACCCTTGGCGTCGGAGGGGCCAACCACTCGGTGGGAAGGCCGGGGCGGGTCTTCATTCTTTGCCTGTTCCGGCAACGGCTGCGGCGGCATGTCCGGGGCATCGTCATGGACTCTTGCGTAACTCCGGACCTTAATGATGTCGCGGGCCGCAGTCTCGCTTATCCCCCACGCCTTGCCGATCTCGGCGGCAAAGTGGCCCCAACGGGCCGCGCGCCGCATTTCAACCACATCGGCGCGGCTGAAACCTCGTCTACCCTTAAATGTTTCTTGCATGTTTCTTGCACCTCTTTCATAGGTTATCCGTAAGATATGTAAAAGCGTCCCACAAGAAAAGGGAGGGAATGCTCTCTCCCTCTGGCTTATCCGAAAGCTAATCAGAAGAAAGAAAGCCTATCAAAAGGCAGATGGCGCGCCCCCAACATACGGGGGCGCGCGCATACTTTCTTACACCAAAACGCATTTTCACCCCAGTCTTTAGCTACAAAAAGCGGGAATATTGTCATTTTGGGCCTGGATTCCCAAGAGAAAAAAGCAACCGCTATAATATATAAGGCGGGTCCGAATCGAATCGTGTGCATCGCGCGCGCACTTATAGTACATGGAGTGTGATAGGGTGGAGGGGGAGAGGACTACCCCCTATAAGTGGAACCAAGCAATGTATTGCACGCGGCTTCCGAGTCCCCGGCGGTCGACCTCTACCATGCTGGGCTTCCAGTGCCAGCACGTTAGAGAGTTTCCACTGTGGACCTGGGAAGCCCGCGCTGGTTGCCGCTGCCCCTGGCAACAGGCGGTCAGCCTCGTACCCGACGGGTAGGTAAGTCTTGACCTGGGCCTTAGTCCAGTCCCTTCCATCCAATAAGTCTTTTCCGCTGTACCAATTCATACCATGCCTCCGAGCTTACTGCCCCAGCGTCCAGATACCAGTCGCCCCATGCCCAACACGCCAGCAGTACCGTGTGCCCCATGCCAACCCCATAGAAACGGACCACGATGTCCGCTATAGCCTTCACCCCGAACCACAGAATGGACTTTACGCCACTCCCAATCATCCTCAGTGTCCAGCCCATCAACTACCTCCTGTGATATTCCCATTGGCTGCTTCCGATGTGCACGGAA